GATTAATAAAATAACTCAGTTCAGGCGCACAGTGCCTGTTGGATAGTAAGGGCTCAATTATAGATAGATAGACCAATCAGCTGCCATTGAGTCAGCTCCTACTAGTGGCAACTTTAAGTACAGTCAAACAAAATATTGCTGACCCTGCGTCATCCTCATAACTGCTAGCATGCTCAAGTCCATTGTTGTGGCTATTGTGCCAATTCATCTTGCCAAAGGTCTCCCTCATCCTCACTGGCCCTCTGTTTCACCAAACATGATGTCCTCCAGCAATTGATCCCTCTTCATCTTGTGCCCAAAGCAAGCTAGTTGGACAGTATTCTGTTGTGACCCATAAGGAGTTCATTGGCTAATTTTCATAAGTAGGTTAGCAGGCCTTTCTTTAGAAAGTCTTTCTTAGTTTAGAAGCTCTGCTGAAACTTGTCCATCATGGGTGGCCCTGCTGGTATTTGAAATATCGGTGGCATAAGCTTCCAGCACATAGCAATATCCAAGCCATCCAAGTATGACAAACTGACAAACAAGTGGTGGGGGGCTCAATAAATGGCAGCTGTTACTGTTGTTATCATACTAAGAATAGGGCAGTGCTGCTTAAAAACCATGTGATCTATGCAACAGACCCCGTGTTGATGTAACTCCTTACACGTACCTCAGTTATCACTGCATTCTCATGTGTGAAAATGATGTGGTGTCAAACTTCCTCTTCTGACTTCAGGGGGAGAGACAAATCATCATCAACACCGGCCCAAAGCAGATTCCTATGAGGTGGAGATCCGACATTACCTCCTCTCTCCAGCCTTTTCACCTGTTCTGACACTAGTCATCCCACCCTCTACTTCTCTGCTGGGTTTGGAAATTCCTTACAATGGCCACACAGAGTTCACAGACCTCAGTGAAGGAGTATATTTGGGAAATAACAGGTATCCTCAGGATCAGAATCAACAGGCTGCAATTCAGAAATCAGGATCAGGAGGCATGTAGACAGTCTCCCTTCAGTGCAGAATGCTCTCTCAGCTATGTAATGCTCTCTCAGCTATGTAAGGCTCTTCTCAGCCTCTCAGGGTAGGCCTCCCCTTGGCCCCCTGAAAACAGCCTTTCCTCAGTGCCCTCAGAACAACCCTACTCTCTTGGCCCTCGACCTTCAGCCTGGTCTCTGTCCTGCTGGGGCAAGTGTTACAAAGCTTTTTAGCTCTGCCAGTAAGTTCTCAGAGGTACTCCATTCCTCCACAAAGCCTCCTACCTGAAGGTGTTCTGCTCTCTTGCTTTGCAATTCAATTCAGCACACCCTCTATAGTTGCCTTGCTTCATGGACCATTATGCATGGTCTCTTGGACTGGTCTCTTGGTTCTGCTGCCACCATTTCTGCTGCTGGACTTGCTGCCAATTCTTACTGTCTCACGTTTTCTCCTGTGTTACAGCTCTCTCTGTCCCCTGGGTCCAGGAGGTTCTCAATACGGGCATCCTGGGTTCAAAAGACATGCTCTGCTCCTAGTGCTTCTTGATAGTAGTGAAGTCCTTCCTTCACTCTGGGATCGGCTCTTCTAAAACCTAGTAGGATGGCAAAGTGACTAATTCCCTATAATAAGGGTTTCGTACACCTTATGTGCATGACCCACCCCCTTGCAAAGGTTCGTATACTTTATTTGCTTTATTACCAGGCTGTCCATGCCCCTTGGTGGGCCACAAGCATCTTATTTGCATAATCCCACCCATTTTGTGGGAGTTATGAGACCATCACCCATGACTAAACGGGCCATATTAAAGCAACTCACTGTACTATAGCAATTTGTCTCCCATCCTAGATGGGGAGTTCCTTGAGATTTGGGAGTTTGATTTTCCCTCCATTTTTGTATGTGCCCAGTCTAGCTCAGTACCCGATACATATGAGTGTTGAATGAATCAATTAATGAGTAAGAGACACATACTCTCTATTAATAAACAAAATATTTTCCTTAAAATACACACAATAGTGTTGAATAGAATAAAATGTATCAAAAGATTTTTGGTCATAAAACTCTTAGATAAGTAGTTGAATGCCAATCAAATGTTGAGTACCTAATATGTTTAATTTGTTGACAGAAGATACAAATATGCATTAATTTCTCCCCTGAAATATTTACAATCTACTTGGGGTATATAAGACAAGCATGGAGAAAGATACACAGTATACAGAATCAGCATCACTCTCTACATTATCTCACAATGCTGATGCACTTTTTTGCAGCACTGCTAGATTATTTGATAAAGAATATAGAAAATATCTTAAGACCATATGTGGTGATTTGCCAATTAAGTTCTAGAGAGTTCTGTACTTAACAGTTACTAACTTGTAGATAAGGGAAGACTCACAGGTTTATAGTACAGAGAGTGAAATTCAAAATTCCTCTTCCTAGAAGAAGATTAACTAAAAAGAAATGAGCTTTTCTGTAAATTTTCAATATACTGACAGAATCATAGAAATGGGAAAATGGAATTATAGCACTTAATCACCTAGGAGAAATAGGTTAAAGAAACTAAGACAAGTGGAATATTTAAGTTAAATGGAAGTGGAAGTAGAATTGTTTTCCCTTCGCAACATGACCACTATTGTCTCCCTATATAACCCCAACAGATACACACATAGTATACACCTTTGAAACAGGAGGTTCTCTTGATGTGGATAGAAATAATGAACTGTTTAGGAAGAGCAACTATGAGACAGAATGGCAGGACATTTCTAAGGCACAACTGTAAACTAGGTGAGGCAAAAATGTGAATTTTTTTTTTCCTCAAGGAAAGGGTAAACAAAAGTTTATAGAAGAGAAAGAAAATACTTGGAATAATAACATGTAAGGGGTCATAGGAGTCCTTGGGTGTCGCAAATAGCACAATCCATTATAACAGAAAGGTCGATGATTCAGTTTCACTAAGAGTCACCTCAGAAGAAAGGCCCAACACACATGGGATTGCCTTGAGTCATTGTCAACTCGACAGCAACTAGTAATGGAAGGGACAATCTGATATTTATATTTATATATATATATATATCTGAGATGTAGTGGAGATTTGGAGATGCATGTTGCAAGTGATCAATGTAATGCTTTCCTATAAATGGAATTCCTAACTTTTTTTTTCAACACTTATTTTGCTTTAGATATGAGGACCTAACTGAATTACTGAATAGAAATCTTTTACAGGAGGAAAGAATTCATTCAGTATGTAAAGAAAAATTAGTTTTCTTGTTGGAAGGTAACACCTAAATGGAAATACAGAAAATAGTATTGTTTTACTAAGTGATGACTAGAAAGATTACTTTTCTAAAACATCATTGTCTGCTGTGTGAAACATTCTTTTCCATTCATTTTCCATTAAAGTTGTGTCATCAAAAACCAAACAGAAAGTTGGTATTAACAATCACAGATTTCAGTAACTTGTGACTAGCTGTTCCTTAACCATGTTGGCTTAATTTGATGGACAAAAGCATGACATGAAATCTTATGATCCTATAAATTATTAAATCATTACTTCTGTTTCTTCTGGAAAAGACAAGAGAAGCTGGCGGGCTTTTCCAGCTGATAAAATTATACTTCACTTCATTAGTCATTATGAAACTATGTGTAAGAACTAACGACGTAAAACAAAAAACACGAGATCTTTTTCAATATGGATAGAATGCCACTGTACACAGAAAGTCCTGAGTGAAGAGTTGTCTTGTCACATCTACTTTATGAAAATTAAAAATAAAAGCAGTATCTAGAAACAGATCCAAAAACCATCACAAAAAGATTGTTACTGGAATATGAAGTGGATTTATTATCTAACATCAAACTAAATGTCAAGCCAAATTCATATTATAAATATTTCATCAGTGGAAGAGGAAGCTAGTTGGTAGTTCTATTTTAGAGTTCTCATATTTTGTTTGAAACTAATTAGTAAAAATGAAAAAATTGTCCATAATGCTCTCAATTTAAAGTGAATTTTAGCTTTTGAGCATGCACTGTACTTAAATAAATAAATAAATAAAAATCCTTTGACTAAACCCAAACCCACTGCCATCCAGTCAATAGTGACCCTATAGGACACAGTAGAACTGCCACAGAGGGTTTCCAAGGCTGTAAGTCTTTATGGAAGCAGACTGCCATGTCTTTCTGGAGCAGCTGGTGAGTTTGAACCACCAACCTCTTGATTAGCAGTCAAATGCTTTATTTATTTTAGTCAAAAGTTACTATATAACTGAAATCTACTATTATAAAATTTTCAGGCCCACAAAATCATTTTGGGCACTTTGATCTTAAATGAATATATGATAAATCAGTCTGATATGTGGCAAGTCACATGTTGGAATGAGCTGGAATATGTAAGCCCACATAACACATTCAGAGATGGGGAGAACATACTTACATCTACATAAAGTGAAGATTAAAAATACAACAACAACTACTCAGTTGTATATGTGGCTTTTAGTTTTAGTGGAGATAAAAATTTAGCTTCATTTATAGCTTCTGTACAGTAATTGAAAAATCCATTTACTGGTGTTAAAGGGGTTTGCATGGTAGAATTATTTTTAAGAGATGAACTTCTTTGCAGTGATACAGATGCTATCTAAAATTATTCAGAATCATCACAATATGCAAGAATTATTTAAAAACTTACCAATCATAGGCAGTTTATCATTTTCTTCCTATAATGTCCCATCCATACATCCAAGCCCAATTATTTCTCCTTTTTTAGTCCACCCTTCCTCTACTTCTAGGGTGGATGCTTTTGTCTCACTTTTCTGAACCACATACCCCTTTGCTGATACAGCTCACTTGTTATTTGTCTTTTACAACAGTTAATAGTATAAGAACTTGGGTACTCATTTCCTCTTCAAGGTTTTAAACTCCTTGAAAGCAAGAACCATGTCTTATTCACACCTGTAAACCCTAAACCTTAAATACTTAACACCATCTCTTGTACATAATTGGTAATTAATATTTATTAAGTAGATAACTACTTCTTTTAATGTATTACAGATAACCTAGAAGATACCTACTCCATTCAACAAGAGGAACTATTCCTGGACTACAGAACTGAAAGGAAGAATATGAATGGATTTTGAACCACAGTTTCTAAAGAGTTTGAGAATACTGGGGAAATAATTTGTTCTCCTACACAACATATACAGGTAAAGGTTGTTTCTGATGCAGCTGAGAAAAATGCAGACCATCAAAAAAGAGCAGGCATTGCTTGAAACTAGTAGCAGTGTAGACAAGATGTTGGTACTTAATTCTGCTTTAACTGAAGTATCAGAAGACTTGACAACAGGAGAAGACCTTCTATTAAATGAAGGAAGTGTGGGGAAAAACAAATCTTCAGCATGCCGTAGAAAGCGGGAGTTCATTCCTGATGAAAAGAAAGATGCCATGTATTGGGAAAAAAGGCGGAAAAATAATGAAGCTGCCAAAAGATCTCGTGAGAAACGTCGACTGAATGACCTGGTTTTAGAAAACAAACTAATTGCACTGGGAGAAGAAAACGCCACTTTAAAAGCTGAACTGCTTTCACTGAAATTAAAGTTTGGTTTAATTAGCTCCACAGCATATGCTCAAGAGATTCAGAAACTTAGTAATTCTACAGCTGTGTACTTTCAAGACTACCCAACTTCCAAATCTAATGTTAGCTCTTTTGTGGATGAGCATGAACCCTCCATGGTGGCAAGTAGCTGTATTTCTGTCATTAAGCACTCTCCACAGAGCTCTCTGTCTGATGTTTCAGAGCTGTCCTCGGTAGAACATACTCAAGAGAGTCCTGTTCAGAATAGTTGCAGAAGTCCTGAAAACAAATTCCAAATCATAAAACAAGAGCCAATGGAACTAGAGAACTATACAAGAGAGCCAAGAGATGACAGAGGCTCCTATACAGCATCCATCTATCAAAACTATATAGGAAATTCTTTTTCTGGATACTCACACTCTCCTCCTCTGTTGCAAGTCAATCACTCCTCCAGTAACTCTCCAAGAACTTCGGAGACTGATGATGGGGTGGTTGGAAAGTCATCCGATGGAGAAGATGAACAGCAGGTTCCCAAGGGCCCAATCCATTCTCCCGTTGAACTTAAATGTGGACATGCAACAGTGGTGAAAGTTCCAGAAGTGAATTCCTCTGCATTGCCACACAAGCTTCGAATCAAAGCCAAAGCTATGCAGATAAAAGTAGAAGCATTAGACAGTGAATTTGATGCCACGCAAAAACTGTCCTCACCTATTGACATGACATCAAAAAGACATTTTGAACTTGAAAAGCATAATACTCCAAATATGGTACATTCTGCTCTTACTCCTTTCTCAGTGCAAGTGACTAACATCCAAGATTGGTCTCTTAAATCAGAACACTGGCATCAAAAAGAACTTAGTGGCAAGACCCAAAATAGTTTCAAATCTGGAGTGGTTGAAATTAAAGACGGTGTCTACAAAGTTTCTGACCCAGAGAATTTGTATTTGAAGCAGGGGATAGCAAACTTATCTGCAGAGGTTGCTTCACTTAAGAGGTTTATAACTACACAACAGATATCTGCTTCAGACTCTGGGTAACCTACTACTGAATGATATCTGGCTGTTTAGGAAGTTATCATTTGTAATAGATGAATATGTTTTGTATTATGCTGAATTTTCACTGGACTTGTGATGTCATTTCACTGTAATGTTCACCTGTTGTCTGTCTGGTGTCTTTTTGTGCACAAACTATTATGAAGATTAGATTGTGTTATCACTATGCCTTGTGTATAGTCAAATAGTCCATGCAAAGACTGTGTATATTGAACATTATTTTTGTTGTTCTATAAAATGTGCAAGTTACCAGTTTCAATAAAGGATTGGTGACAACACAGAACTTCTGCCAAATTGCACTTGATCTCACAGGAATAAAAAGCAATTTAAGTTACCAAAATAGTTATTAAGAAATTTTATATTTTACTTATTTTGAGGAGTTTTCTCTCCTAAACATGGAAAAACTGAAGTACAAGTTCAGTAAATAATTTGCTATTTCTCTAGTTTCTAAAGAAAGAAAAATTAGAACAATGAGTTTTCTGGCATTTGTTCCTAATTCGTTCAATTGCTCTCCATTGCATAATTTAATTTTAAAGTACATTTTCTCTATACATTTTTTTAAACTAGAGAAATCCAAGTTGATTGGCAAAGACTTGCTTTAGTCATCTCTCTTAATCATGACACATGGATGTGGATAGTTGAGTCTCTGACCTACTATATTAGATTAGAGGTTACTTTAAAAGAGTGGTAAAGACTAAATATGAAGGACTTTTTATACTATTGTAAATCTAAACAGTTCTAGAGAATAACAGTATAGAGAATGAGCTAGTGAAATACTGTTTTTACTGAATTTCCAAAATGTCAAAGAACACATTAATTACCACATTACAACATGTATAGTCTGAATATATCCAATGGCTTATTTTTTTAATATTTAATGAATAATATAAATAATAGCTCTGTATCTTCAGGCAAGAGCCTTGGTGGTGCAGTGGTTAAGTAAACCAAAAAGGTCTGTGGTTCAGACTTACCAGTTGCTCTGCAGCTGCAAACCAAAAAGTCAGTGGTTCAAACCTACCATTCACCTTGCAGGAGAAAAGACCTGGCTAACAATTACAGCCTAGTAAACCCTATGGGGTAGTTCTGCTCTGTCACATGAATTGAAATCAACTCAGTGATACACAACAATAACATATCTTCAGGTATTAGTTTAGAAACTATAGTGGTGGTGGTGGTGTCAGCTGCTGTCAAGTCAGCTCCTGACTCATGGTGATCCTAAATACAATAGACTGAAACATTGCTCAGTACTGCACCATCCTTGTGGTCTTTGAGTATGGGACCATTGTAGTTCATAGGGGTTTTATTGGCTGATTTTTGGAAGTAGATTGCCAAGCCTTTCTTCTAGTCTGTGTTAGCTCTAGAAGCTCCACTGACAGCATCATAGTGACACTCAAGCCTCTACTGACAGGTGGGTAGTGGCTGCACATGAGGTGAACTAGTTGAGAATCAAACCCGAGTATCCCTCATGAAAGAAGACAATTCTACCACTGAACTATGAGTGACTATAACATAAAAGTACAGGGGAAAAATACATCATTTTAGTAAATCTATGGTGAAACAATTGCTGATTATTTGTCCAGTTATTCTGTAATTGTGCTATGAAAATAAGTGTTGTGAACATGAACCAAGTTTACTACTGTTGCAGTGTACCCACTTGTATCTGCACACACCTGTGGGACAGTAAAACAGGGTGGGGCGCAGTGGTGTTACTCAAGCACAGCCTTCTCCACAGATAAGACTCCTCAACACAACCTTCTCTAGAATCTTATTTTTGCATGTTGACCTCTTTTTCTATTCTAGAAGTTGGTGAAGTATCATAGAACATGTCTACTTTCACATGCAGATTGATCTCCCCTCACTTAGTTATATTGGCACCTGGGCAGAAAGGGGGTAGAGTCCCTTGTGATGTCCCATAACAGGGGTCTTGGGTCTTTTTGACTGACCAATTAGAATAAAAGTCTGATTGTGGACATGTTGCATTTCCTGCCTTTATACATTTTAAAAAGTGTGGTCCTTTGAATTAAGGACAATGCTGGCAATATACACATGCACCATCTACTTCATGTTTTGGTCACCAAAAAAGAAAAACTCACACCATCAAGTCGATTCCAACTCATAGCAACCCCCCTTGAGTTTCTGAGGTGGTAAATCTTTATGGAGGTAGATTGCCCCATCTTTCCACGGAGTGGCTGGTGTGTTTGAACTGCCAACCTTCTGGCTACCAGTCAAATGCCTTAGGCATTGTGCGACCAGAGCACCTTTTATTTTGGTCATAGTGATCTGTTTTCTCTCTAAAATCACCTGGTTTTTAGAGAAATGTTTTGCATGGCTCAATCCTTGGCCTTCAATCTTACGCATTTTATTAGTGACTAGATGAAACCCAAAAGCAAACTTACCTTACCTGGGAATGTTACAACTCGGAAAAGGAGGGCTGAAATACTGGATGGCATTCATGATAGAAAAGACTTTGACAGCCTAGAATCAATGGAATAAATCTAATAAGATGAAACATAATAGGGATACAATGTAAAAGTCAGGTTCTTAGATGAAAAGAAAGCAACAAAAGACTGTCCAAGTTCATAATTAGTTTAAAAAAAATGTGAAATATACTTACGTGGAAGAATGTTTTTGTTCCCTCAAGCATACTTGTATTAGCACAAGCAGTATCCAAAACAAGGAGGCACCTATCCTCCTCTGAACACTGTGCCACACTTGCTGAGAGGTGAGTGCTGTAATAAGCATTCCGAAGAAGCCTATCACAGATGAGACATTTTGCAGCCATGATATATGAGAAAACAATGTTGATAATATGTGCAGAAAATGGATCATCCCTATGTTGTGTGGTACTATAAGTAAGAATAAGATCAAGTAGATATTAGAACAAAGGAATCCCTGGGTGGTACAAACAGTTAACGTATTCAGCTGCTAACCAAAAGGTTGGAGGTTGGAGGTTTGAGTCCACCCAGAGGCACTTTGGAAGGCCTGGTGATCCACTTCCATAAGATTACAACTGTTGGAAACTCTATGGTGCACAGTTCTCCCCTGACACATGCAGGGTCATTGTGAGTCAGAAGCAACTCTACGGCAACTGGTTTTTTGGTTTTACTAAAAAAGTAAATCTTGAGTTTATTTGAAGGAAGAATTTATATCTGTAGGAGCTGTCCAGGACTGAAGTGGCCTGCTTCAGGCCATAGCACCTTCCATATTAATCACTAGATGTTAGCTACCATTGTTAATATCACATTTGTGTCATTTTAGTTTTTTTTTTCCTTCATCTCATATTTTTGCTTGAATTTTAAGGATCTAAATTTTAATTGGGATGATGTTTAAAATATTACTCCTTGAAAAATAATAGAATAAACAAGCAATTTCAAACCTACTAGTGAATAAAAATGATACAAATTAAAATTTCACTGTGATACAACTGTTTCATACTATCAACTGAGGAAACACTACCACCTCTCCCTCCCACCCACAAAGTCCCTAAAATGGATAGGAAATGCTTTTAAAACCCAGTCAACCTACCTGTACTCAAAAACAAAAAATGGAAACCTCAGAGTACCAAAAGTACTTAGAGAGGACAGGAAGCTGTGGGCCTATAAAACACAGAAGGGCTCTCACAGGGCCCGAGCTTTGGGACTCAGGATACTAGGATGAAGTTACAGCAGAACTGTCAACAGTGGGATTTAATTGGGATACTGCCGCAGACATAGGTATTTGCCATCACCTATGTTCCCTCCCCCTCAGGGACACAGGACAGGACTTTGGGTGCTAGAGGCTGAGCATTGCCCTGGTGACCGATAGTTCCCCTATAGAATGCAGACATTATGCCCCCAAGCGTAGCAGCTTGGGGCCTCTGTATCCAGCAGTATTACCTTGCTACTTTTTGTATTGCTATATACATTTTAAGGAGCTCTGTTGGCATACTGCCTAAGGCATTTGACTGCTAACCAAAAGGTTGGCAGTTCAAACCCACCAGCCGCTCCACGTAAGGAAGATGGGGCAATCTACGTCCATAAAGATTTACTGCCTCGGAAACCCAATAGGGGTTGTTATGAGTCAGAATCAACTCAATGTCAGTGAGTTTGGGTTTTGTTTTGTTTTTTGGTTTATGACCATTTTATGGAACCCATATGGTAGAATTCTGACTTTCCATACAGGAGAGTTTCATTGAGTTCCCAGACAATGCATCTCATGTGACAGCCAACACCTGTTAATGGAAGTTTGTGTGTTGCTATGATGATGAACAGGTTTCAACAGAGTTTCCAGACTAAGACGGATAAGGAAGAAAGGGCAGAGAATCTTCCAAAAATTGTTATGTGCCTTCGAGTCAGACCTGACTCATATAGCGACCCCTCATTGGGTTTCTGAGGCAGTATCACTACGGAAGTAGATTGCCCAACCTTCCTTCTGAGGAGTGGCTGGTGGGTTTGAACCACCAGCCTTCTGATTAGCAGTCAAGTGCCTTAGGCACTATGCTACCAGAGCCAGTGAAAATCCTATGGAGCACAATGATCTGGAATCTTAGAAAAATTAGCCAGTGAAAATCCTATGGAGCACAATGATCTGATCTGCATCCATTCATGGTGATGGCACAGGATCACACAGCATTTTGTATTTCATACACATGGGGTTGACGTGAATAGGGGGCCAATTCTATGGTGGCTGACAGTAACAACATGTTCATTTTATGAAGGAGAAACCAAGACTCTGAGGATTAAGTAACTTGCCTAAAGTCTCACAGCCAGCTAGTGGGGCAATCATTCGCACCAGAACCCAGCCCTTGTGCCGTCTTTGTTGTCATTGATATACTCAGGTCATTGCTTTGGACCCTGTGTATTTTGAGTGCCTTCCATCCTAGGTGGCTCATCTTCCAGCACTTTATTAAACAATATTCAGCTGTCATCCATAGGATTTTCACTGGCTAATATTCAAAAGTAGATTGCCAGTCCTTTCTTTTTCCTCTGTCTTAGTGTGAAAATGCTATTGAAATTGGCAAATGAGTGGTGAAGAACAAAATAAGGTGACAAAGAAACACCTACTTAAAAAGTCAGGAGTACATAGCTTTAGCTGCTGAATCATCATGCTATGAACAATCAAGAGTGATTTTTATTTGTTGACTATTGATAATGTTGGCTGACACACAAAAAGTACTTGCTTAGAGGCTTAAAAAGTAAACTAACTAAATCAAGTAATTCAGACCAATTAACTGCCAGTTTTGGTCATTGTTAATCTTACCATTTGAGAAGGAAAAGGTTACTTTCAGGAAAATACTTGAATAAA